AGCTACTCCTCCCACACTGGCTAAAACACTTAGATGACAGGATGGGCACTGTGGCTCATGTTTGTAATCCTAGCACTTTGGGAGGCTGAGGTAGGGGGATTGTTGGAGCTCAGTAGTTTGAGAACAGCCTGGACAACGTGATGAAACCCAATCTCTATAAAAAATACAAAAAATGGCCCAGTTAGTAGGTAGTGGTATGAACCTGTGGTCCCAGCTACCCGGGTAACAGTGAGACCCTGTCTCAAAACAACAACAACAAAAATAACAAACAAACAAACAAACAAACAAAAAACCCACCTCCAGTCTTTGCTTTACTCTTTCTTCTCTTCTTTTCCTCTTTCTCTCTCTTTCTTTTTTTCTTTCCCCTCCCTCCTCTCTCTTTCCTTCTTTCTTTCTTCTCTCTTTTTCTTTTCTTTCTTTTTCTCTTTCTCTCTCTTTCTCCTTCCTTCCTTCCTTCTTCCCTCCCTCCCTTCCTTTTTTCCTTCTCTCTTTCTTTCTTTTCTTTTTTCTTTCCCTCTCTTTTTTTCTTTCTTTCTCTTACTCTGTCACCCAGGTTGGAGTGCAGTGATGTAATCATGGCTCACTGCAGCCTCAACCTCCTGGACCCTAGCAATCCTCCCAAGTAGCTGGGACCACAGGGCATGCACCACCATAATTGACTATTTAAAAAAAATTTTTTAGAGATGGGGATCTCACTTATTTACCCAGGCTTGTCTCAAATGCCTGGGCTCAAGCAATCTTCCTGCCTCACCCTCCCAAAGTGCTGGGATTATAGTCATGAGCCACTGTGCCCAACCTCTCAAATGTTTTCTGCAACAAATATTCCAGGTAGAATTTTTGGTTTTTGATTCTTTACTATTGTTCCCACTTTATATCTCTTCATAATGTGAATATAGTGAACAAAGCAGACTATTAAATGAAAATAGCAGTTTTTATTAAATATTTTCTTAATTATTTTTAAAAAGCATGAGAAATCCCTGCCAGATTCTATTTAATACAAAGCTAAAACAGCATCTTATAAACTAACCATTGCCACTACCACTGATATTAAATGATGTGCTGAAACACTTCAATGGTGTCTTAGACATCGTAAAATAAGTCTGTTTTCTTCAATGAAAAAAAATCTCTGTCGTAAAATAAGTCTGTTTTCTTCAATGAAAAAAATAATCTCTGTTGAACATAACTTATAACAAAGTCTGTATTTGTTGACTGATATATATCTTAGCTTATCATGCCATTTCAATCTGCTGTTTTGCAAACATAAACACAATGTGAACTACAGTTATAATTTTTAGCAGTTTAAATTGGTTACTTTGTTGTGAGAACACATATAAAATTCACAGAAATAAAAATTAATAAATATAAAAATTCATTTGTAATTTAATTCCTCAACAAATCAAATTGTTTCCAGTTATTGGGACACCCTGCCATTCTTTACCTTTGTGCAGGCATAGACTTAGACTTTGCCTGGCAGTACAGATAAAATATCGTGTTCTGCTTTTCTTCCTTATCGTTATTTCACAAACATTGTACATATTGCCAAAAGGTCTTCATAACTATAGAGAAAATAAATTAATGAATATGTTACCATAACTTAATGGCTGATTTCCTCGCTCTTAGACACGGTCTTTTCTCTCCCTCCTGTCCAATCCCTCTTTTTCGGTACTATTATCAACCACAAATATTTTCGTTTATACAGTCTTCACCTTGATTTTAATGTTTCTTTCTTCAGAAAAATTCTCTGAAGTACAGACTTATGAATGTTTTTATGGCTCTTGTATTTCCAAAGTGCTTTTTAAATATCAATGCCATTAATAGACGTGTGTGACTACAATGTACTGCAAACTTCACCAGCACTTATGTATTAGTATTTTTTATTGGATAAATGAGTACCAATTTCAAGGGGTGAAATCTCTGTGATTTCATACTAATGAAAACTCATTAGTATTTTTAGTCTGCATTTTTGTTACTATTGTTGTTAATTGCTTTAAAATATTTGCTGATCATATTTCCTACTATGTGGATTTACTTTAAAGACATGTGTTTTCGTATTTATCTCAAGAAATTACATGTACTTTTGCTATGCTCTGAACAGAAAATAATGCTATATTAACTGCACATATTTTTTCCAATATAAATTGTTTTACTTTGGGCTTTGTTTTTTTAAGTAGCAGATAAGTTTAATATTTTTACATCATTAAATATATTAAGTATTTTTAATGTGATTATTTTTTCTTCTCTTATATCAAAGTTCATGTAGTGATTCTGCTAAATGTCTGGCAAAATACAACTTTCCTCATTAATGAAAAAATTATCCATGTAATCTATCTGGTATTTTGGCCTATATTGTAAGATATAAGTCTAAATCACTTCTTTTTCAAATTTCTTACCACCACAACCATTTATTAAATAGTCTTTCCCTTTCTCATTTTCTTATAATGCTCTTTTCTTATATATGTAAAATTTTCATATATAACATGTTGGTTCCTAAATAGAACACATTATGCAAAAACATCAGTTACATTGTTTTCTACTATAATTTGATATCTGGAATGGCTTTTCAACATTTATGGCTTCTTTTTAAAAATATCTTTTTAGGCCGGGCGCGGTGGCTCAAGCCTGTAATCCCAGCACTTTGGGAGGCCGAGGCGGGTGGATCACGAGGTCAAGAGATCGAGACCATCCTGGTCAACACGGTGAAACCCCGTCTCTACTAAAGCTACAAAAAATTAGCTGGGCATGGTGGCGCGTGCCTGTAATCCCAGCTGCTCAGGAGGCTGAGGCAGGAGAATTGCCTGAACCCAGGAGGCGGAGGTTGCAGTGAGCCGAGATTGCGCCATTGCACTCCAGCCTGGGAAACAAGAGCGAAACTCCGTCTCAAAAAAAAAAAAAAAAAAAAAAAAAATCTTTTTATTCTCATTAGTTTATTTCTCCAAATCAATTTTTATCATTCTGTCACCTAAGAAATGCCAGTTGAAGATTTTGCTTCAGTTTTTCTCTTATATTTATAAATTAATGTTGAAACCATTAATAGCATTATCTTTATATCTAGAAACATAATCTGCCTCTTCAATAACTCAAGTCTTCCATTATAACTCACAAGAAATAACATTTTAAAGATATGTCCAATATTATATAATTAAGGGGCAAAATAAGACCATGATGCAACAGGTAGAGACTATGTAGTAGGACATGTGTATATATCTAGGCTCAACTCCTGTGTGATCTTGTGCCAGATGCTTAGCCTCTCTGAGCCTCAGTTGTTTCCTGTGTAAAGTGGAGGCAATACTGCTTACTTTCAGAATTGTTGTAAGGAGTATGGATAATGTATATAAAGCTATTGGAGCATAGCCTGTATCCAATAAATGTTAGCTATGATCATAATTTTTAATTTAACATCTGCTGAGTACTTGACATTTTACAAAGTTTTTTCATGTGAATTATCTCACTTGCACTGTTTGATCTTTGCAAAAACCCATGAGATAATAATATTATCACTACTAGTATTAGGATGAAAAATCTAAGTATATCTCTTCTTTTGAATCAAAAGTGCAAGCTCATTTCATACTATCATGGATATATGTCAAAGTATCTGTAGACCACCTACATCACATCATAACTTTGTCCCTAAATATTTTATGAATTTTTCTGCTATAATAATTGTAATCTTTTCATCAGATTGTCTAATTAGTTGTGCTTGCTTAATGGAATGCTATTGATTTTGCCATATTTGTTTCACATGCAACAGCTATTCAGTTTCTTATTACCTCTTAAAAATACGTTTAAATCATTTAGTTTTTGGAGTTGCGACGTTGCCAAAGTCAATTCCTTGTTATAGAGTCGTATATTAACTAATTGGAAAGTAAAAAAAAAAGACCAGTTATCTATCATGATATTAAAACATATTAAAATATTCCTGTTTAAGGAACATAAATTTTAAAAAGATCATTTGACTACTGCTAGTCAGTTTCCTTTAGACTATAGATTACATTGCCTTAATAATTTTTTATATTAGTCCTTCAAACCTCCTTTTATCTTGCCTGACAGAAAGGCTGACATTACATTGGGGCAAAAAAAAAGAAATCAAAAAGAAAGCATAGCCCGGGTGCAGTGGCTCATGCCTATAATCCCAGCACTTTGGGAGGCAGAGATGGGTGGATCACCTGAGGTAAAGAGTTCGCGATCAGCCTGACCAATATGGTGAAACCCCATCTATACTAAAAATAAAAAACAAACAAATAAATAAATAAATAATAAAAAATAGCCGGGCTTGGTGCTGTGCGCCTGCAGTCCCACCTACTCAGGAGGCTGAGACAGGAGAATCACTTGACCATGGGAGGCAGAGGTTGCAGTGAGCTGAGATTACAGCACTGCACTCCAGCCTGGGTGACAGAGTGAGACTCCATCTCAAAAAAATAAAATAAAATAAAGCATAAAATTTGTTTCTTGTTGGACTTTAAATATTATTCTTGGAGAAGAGAGACTAGAGGAATGACTATGAAAGAGGCACTGGATCGCACACACTTGCACATTTGGGAGACACCTGCTGCCTTCACATCTCTTCCTAATCCCTGGCTGCCTAAACTCCTTCTAATCATAATCTAGACTCTCCATTCCTTAATAATGCCTTTTAAAATGTTTTCTCCTAGAACATCATTTCAAATGTGAAAGGACACCTTTATCTGAAACGAGTTATTATCTGTCTTCCTCCATCTATTCCCAGAGTACTAGGCGTTCATTTGGAAAAGCATTAATAATGAAATGTGATTCTTAAATTCAATTAGTTGGTTAACACAATCAAATAATACACTGCAAAAAGTATCCTAAATAAAGGAATCTACTGAGTCACCTGGAAAATATTGCATTTTTGGGTAACTGTTCTTTGTATTTAGTTGATTGGAAAATATACATAGCTTGAATTAAAGATAAAAATAAAAATGACACAACTAGTTTTGTTGTAGAACCATACAATTGACTTTGGTTCTGATTTCGGTACTCACGGGTAAAATGACTAGAAGTGGATGGATTGACACTGTCCCCACTGTCAGCACTTTCACTGCTGGAAACTTCATCATCTGATTCCCTCACAGAGGAGCAGGGTGAGGAGCCGTCAACTTCTTCAAACTTCCTCTTTAAAATTCCACTCATAGCTGCAGCACTGTCACATGTACCTGTAACAGGAACAAGAGCAACAGAGCATTGAAATATTTGACTGCTGAACGTGTAGCCAAGGTCTCCAGAGTCATTTTTGTGTGGCTTTTTATATATGAGCTGAGCTACAGCTTTCCCTTGAAAGGATCACCAAGCAGATTTTTATTTCTATATTCAAATTAACAAAAATTAAATATGAATATGTAATCATTTGATTACCAAAAAGTTTTTATATTTTGAGACATAGTTCATTTTAATGTAATATCATGATTCCTTTTTGGTGGCAAAAAAGAAAATCTGTAAAGAAAAAAAATGCCAATGTCTCCCCAAGTCCTTGATTACAACATTATATGAAATTCAGCTGGAAGGAATGCAAAACAGTATGCGCGACCTTTGTGCTCAAGATCTAAAATTCAAGAAACCTAACTAGATGAGCACAATGAAGCATATAAAAACAGTTCTAAATTTTAGGTAGTTTCCATTTCGGTATTGCAATAAGGTGACATGCATCCCTATGCTACCTGGTTGCTGAAGCCCTTGCCACTTTTTCAGAAACTCCCTAAGGCTATTTACCTGAGAGATAGCAATAATTGAAGTGAAAGGTCTATGGATGGGAAATGGATATGGTTTCTTCTAAATCATTTCTCTAGGGTGAATGGACTTTCCCCTTTCCCTGGGCTGACATTTCTCCACCTTCCCCATTTTACCTTGATTGGGCACAGTCAAGTAAGGAGCACAGACTTGCCTTGCAGAAGTAAAGATACTCTAGGGTATACACATTAAATAAATTATCTTAGATATACATAAGATCAAGGTACATGATCTTACATTGCTAAATTACATTAACTTAACTGAAAGTACGGTATTTAACTGAAAGGTTAAATATTCATTACCCAAAATGCTTGGGATCAGAAGTGTTCTGAATTTTGAATTTGTTTGGATTTTGAAATATTTGCATCTACATAATGAAGTAACTTGGGGATGGGACTCAAGTCTATAGACAAAATTCATTTCTGTATATCTTAAACATATAGCCTAAAGGCAATTTCTGGCAATATCTTTGATAATTTTGTGATCAAAACAAAGTTTTGACTCTGTTTTGACTGTGACCCATCAGATAAGGTCAGGTATGAAAATTTTCACTTGTGACATCATGTAGGTGCTCAAAGAGCTTTGAATTTTGGAGCATTTTGGATTTTAGATTAGGGATGTCTAACCTCTACTAATGAGGCAATTCCATGCATTCTATCTTCCACTTCATTTATTTCAGTTGATTCTAACTCACATCTGAGTTATTAAGGCCATTCTCTCCTTTTTCTGCCAGATTATAGTCAGTGTGTAAATCAGGGGGAAGCAAGACCCTTAACACTATTCTGAGATCCCTTTAGTACATTATCTCTACTGCTCTTGGAAATCTCTGAAATCACCTCTTTTCAGTGCAGATCACAGAGCAAGCAGCCTGTTCAAATTCCCTGAACTGGGCCAGCTCTCCAAAAAGGTCTAAGTCAGTAATTTGCAAAGTGTGTTATCTGAATGAGCAGCAGTAGCATTACCTGGAAGTGAGATGGTTAGAAATGCAAATTCTCAGCTCCCATTTCAAATCTACAAATCAGAAATTCCCAGGAAGTCGGGCCAGTCACTTTTTACTTTATGAAGCCCCCAGTTGGGTGATTTTGCAGCACACTCAAAATTGCGGACCACTTGTCTGATTTCTAGTATTCTTTCCAGCCTCTCCATCCATAAACATGGCTCTTTGTTGGATGTGTCCACACACTAGCCCTAGAGGGTCACATAAACCAGCACTGAATTCCTAGTCAAAAATCTCTTCTTTGACCTTTCCTGGTGTGATTCCTAGTAAAATTTAGTACAGAATTTGTATTAGTCTGTTCTCATGCTGCTATGAAGAAACACCCAAGACTAATTTGTAAAGAAAAGAGGTTTAATTGACTCACAGTTATGTATGGCAGTGGAAGCCTCAAGACACTTACAATCATGGCAGAAGGGGAGGCAAACACATCCTTCTTCACATGGCAACAGAAGAGAGAAGTGCCAAGTAAAGGGGGAATAACCGCTTGTAAAACAATTAGAGAACTCATGAGAACTCATTATCAGGAAAACAGTGTGAACGTAACTGCCGCCATGATTCAATTACCTCCCCTTGTGTCCCTCCCATGACATGTGAGCATTTTGGAAACTATATAATTCAAGATGAGATTTGGGTGAGGACACAGTGAAACTATCATTCTGCCTGTGACCCCTCCCAAATCTCATGTCCTCCTCACATTTCAAAACACAATCATGCCCTTGCAAAATCTTAGCTCATTCCAGCATTAACCCAAAAGTTGAAGTCTAAAGTCTCACCTGAGACAAGGCAAGTTCCTTCTGCTAATGGGCCTGGAAAATCAAAAGCAAGTTAGTTACTTTGTAGATACAATGGGAGTACAGGTATTGGGTAAATATACCTGTTCCAAATGGGAGAAACTGGCAAAAACAAAGGGTCTACAGGCCCATCAAGTCTGAAATCTAACAAGGAAATACTTAAAGCCCAAAATCTAGTAGTGCAGCCATTAAACCTTAAAGTTCAAAAATGATCTAATTAATTTGACTCAATTTCTCATATCCAGGGCACAATGACGCAAGAGGTGGTCTTCCACAGCCTTGGGAAGCTCTGCCCTGTGGCTTCGCAGGGTACAGCTCCCCTCCTGGCTGATTTCATGGGGTGGCACTAACTGTCTGTGGCTTTTCCAGGCCCATGGTGCAAGCTGTCAGTGGATCTTCCTTTCTGGGGTCTGGAGGATGGTGGTCCTCCTCTCACAGTTCCACTAGGTACTGCCCCAATGCGGACTCTGTGTGAAGGCTCCAACCCATTTCCCTTCTGCACTGCCCTAGCAGGGGTTCTCCATGAGGCTTTGCCCCAGTGGCAGATTTCTGCCTGACATAGAGGCATTTCCATACATCCTCTGAGATCTAGGCAGAGGCTCCCAAACCTTAATTCTTGCCTTCTGGGCACTCACAACCTCAACACCACATGGTAGCCACCAAGGCTTCGGGCTTGCACCCTCTGAAATAATGACATGAGTCGTACCTTGGCCCCTTTCAGCATGGCTGGACCTGAGGCAGCTGAGACACAGAGCACCATCTTCCCAGGCTGCACAGAACAGGGGGCCCTGGACCCACTTGAAAAAACCATTTTTCCTTCTAGGCCCCCAAGCCTGTGATGGGAAGAGCTTCCCTGAAGTTCTCTGATATGTCCTGGAGACATTTTCCCCATTGTCTTGGTGATTAACATTTAGCTCCTCGTTACTTATGCAAATTTCTACAGTGAATTTCTTGAATTTCTCCCCAGTAAATAGGTTTTCCTTTTCTATCACATCATCAGGCTTCAAATTTTTCAAACTTTATGTTCTGCTTCCTATTGAATGCTTTGCTATGCAGGAATTTCTTCTGCCAGGTATTCTAAATATCTCTCTCAAATTCATAGTCCCACAGATCTCTGGGGCAGGGACAAAATGCTGCCAGTCTCTTTGCATAGCGAGAACGACCTTTACTCCAGTCCCCCAAAAGTTCCTCGTCTCCATCTGAGTCCACCTCAGTCTGGGCTTCATTGTCGATATCGCTATCAGCATTTTGGTCAAAGCTGTTCAAAAGTGTCCAGGAAGTTCCAAAGTTTCCCATATCTTTCTGTCTTCTGAGTTCTCCAAGCCTCTAAAAAGTTCCAAACTTTTCCACATTTTCCTATCTTCTTCTGAACCCTCCAAACGGTTACAACCTCTGCCTATTAACCAGTTCCAAAGTTGCTTCCACATTTTTGGGTATATTTATGGCAGCACCCTACTCCCTGCAGTACCAATTTACGGTATTAGTCCATTCTCATGCTGCTATGAAGAAATACATGGGACTGGGTAATTTATTTAAAAAAGAGGTTTAATTGACTCAATAGTTCCACCTGGCTAGTTAGGCCTCAGAAAACTTAAAATTATGGCAGAATGAGAAGCAAACGTGTCCTTCGTCACATGACTGCAGAAGAGAAAAGTGCCAAATAAAGGGAGGAAAGCCCGTTATAAAACCATCAGATCTCATGAGAACGAACTCACTGTCTCAAGAACAGCAAGAAGGTAACTGCCCCTGTGATTTAGTTATCTCTCACAGGGTCCCTCCCATGATATTTGGGGATTATAGGAACTACAATTCAAGATGAGATTTGGATGGAAACACAGCCAAACCATATTAGTATTAGATTTTTCATATTTCAGAAATACTTATGAAATAATAATGAATATTTATTTCATTAATCTAAGCATGCATTTAGTAACTGTTGTGTCTGTATTTGATTCCTTGAGTGGAATAGGGTCTACAAAAGAAAGTTAGATGGCTATCTGGCCTCAAGAAGCAAACATTTTCTATGCTGGGCTCCACCAAATTAAGAACACTCCCAAAGTCATGTTCTACTTACTTGCTTTATTAATCCATGTCTTTCTACATGAGTGTTATATTAACAGTGGAGATAACTGATAGCAATAGGAAGATAGACCATTGTCCACTCTTTTGAAAATAAAATCTCTATTCCTACTCAGATTATACCACTATTCAGATTAGCATATTATTTTCTCCATCTTAAAGAGTGTGAAATGCATAAAATGTTCATGCATATCTGAATAGGGTGAAGAGAAAAAAAGATATTTTAAGTAAAGTCTTGAAATAAAAGTAGGACAGGATATAAATTTTAAAATGGTTCACTTCAAACAAGATGCAAAGTAATTCATGAGGGAGAGACTCCAAGACACAAAGTAATACAAGATGGAAACCTATGTTTAAAAAGCACATTTTTATAATAAGATATTGCAATGGGAGCAGTTAGAAACCAAGTTCTTTTTAAGCTCCACTTCCCCTCCCCCCAACTCCCCAGCTTCTTCAGGAAAGGTAGACTTCTCAAGAATCATGGACACTTAATTGGGCTACAGGGATCCATGTCCCAACACTGTAAATGGTGGTACTTGGTACTCTTCTTGCCCTTTCTCAC